ATATAGAAAGTATATACATTTATATACATGCATGTAATTAAGATATACATATATTTAAATATTCGAATATTTTCATTGGAAACACGTTCAATAAAATGAAATTTTGCTTTATTCTACATTGCGGCGTAACAATTGTAAATATTTTACGCCAAGTACGATTGTATGTTATGATAATGGTTTTAGGACAATTACCCCCTGGGCAATCACCCCCCGGAAAATTACCCCCCGGAAAACTACCCCCTAAGGACAATTACCCCCTGGAATATTACCCCCCGGAGAATCACCCCCCCCCCCGAGGACAACTACCCCCCAAGGACAATTACCCCCCGGAAAATTACCCCCCGGAGAATTACCCCCCGAGGACAATTACCCCCTAGGAAAATTACCCCCCGAGGACAATTACCCCCTAGGACAATTACCCCCCCCCCCGAGGACAATTACCCTCTAGGACAATTACCCCCCGAGGAAAATTACCCCCCGATGACTATTACCTCCGAGGACAATTACCCCCGAGGACAACTACCCCCCGATGATAATTACCCCCCCCCCCCCCCCGAGTACAATTCCTCCGATGACATTTACCCCTCGAGAACAACTACCCCCGTGGACAATCAGGATTCAATAGCAAAAGACGATCTGACACATTGAGAGATGGCTACGAGCCCATAAGATCCCCTGTATGAACCCATATTCTTTCAAATACTATATCACGTTGTCTTCCTCATTACTACACATTTCCCTTTTATTATAATTTATGCAACGCCAGTGCGGTTGCTAATTTCCACGAAGGGTGTAAGTTTTAGGTAATTGTCCAGCGCTTTTCAAAATGCATAGAAATACATTTCTCTGGAGCAGCGTTATTTTAACTTTTTTGTTAGTCACGGTACCCTCCTAAGAAATGAAAAGTTTCTCCCAAGTCCCAAAGTCTTTACAGATTATTAATTTTGCATGACTCTGGCTCTCGTCAAGTGCTATGCACACACGTATGGGCACATTTAAGAATGAAAAGGAGAAGACATTTTCGAACTGGTAAAAAATTAGTTTGTAATCCACACACTAGAAACTGTATGTGGGCACCTTGCCGCCAAATGTACATAAATAAAAAATGATATATTCGGTCATGATCTTGATACACGAATTTGAGGATATTCGGGCCTCTCGTTGCCCTTATTTACCTTGCTGTCAAAATATTGTCAGCGAGCGAGAAAGGAAGACACTTTAGTATCTTCAAAAAAATTATTTTCTCATGTAATTAGATATTTTAACCGTTTCTGATATTTTTTTTTTTTTTACAAAATCAACGTTTTCCAAATCATTCTCTTGCGGCACCCCGGTTGAAAAACGCTGTGCTGGCGTTATAAAATCAAATGAGATGAATTACCAGAGAGCTGATATTTATTTTCTTTTGACATGGCACCGTACATATAACTTGAAGGCAATTTCTATTTCAAAATATTTTAACGTACACGAAAACATATTATACTTCAGCATGACAACAGAAATTAACAGATAACGTGAAGAAAACCTTAATTATGGATCATGGCATGGATGACGGCCCATTATATACATACAAAGACAAATACACGATCAGCTGATTAAAACAGTTACAGAGGATGCATAAAGGAAATCTGACATCCTAATTTCTTTGTTGTGCCATTGATGGTGAGAGAAGCTGTAACGCGTACTCATCTGCGCGCAATGTATTGTTCAATTTCTAAGAAATATAATTTCTGTTCTTTACTCGGTAGCAAAACTACAGGGGAATCGGGCAACCTCCACCCCCATATCGAATTTAATAATTTGAAAAGACTGAAATGAACTTCATAAATAACAAAGAAAATGAAGGTTTATGCAATTTTCTGTAAATAGCAATTTGGAGAGAAGCTATATTTATACGTCACAGTGTTATAAATTCCTCGGGGGTGATTGTCATTGGGGGCATAGGCGCCGGAAGTGGGGGGGGCAGGGGGGCAGCTGCCCCACAATCACAAAAGTGGGGGGGGCAAAACGCATTTTTGCCCCCCAAAAACGCCCCCTCCCCTCAAAAAAGAAAGAAAAAAAGCAGTAAAGGAGTCAAGATGGTTTGTATTTTTAACCCAAAAGAACATAAAAATAATAAAAACCTGAATTCAATGACGTATTAAATTCCTTTCAAAGAAAAGGAAAGTTAACAGGAATTAAATTTCCTAAACATTGCGCATGCTACCTATTAATGGAGGTTTTTATAATAGCGATACGCACATATCGTGGGCATATTGTGAGAGAATGGGAAAGCGTGTCTGTTTTTTGTTATAGGGGTGAGAAACTTATGAGCCCCTGGACGCTGGCGTACTGATGGGGGGGGGGGGTATTTTTTTATTCGATACCAGTGATTTACAAATGTTGCTGAAATGACATGATTTTCCGGTATATTTTTTTTCTTTTTTTGTAAGTCATACCTTTTTTTGCGTTTGTTGGAAAATTAGAAATTCCCAAATTTAGAGTCGGGCGAAAAATATGCTTATTTAGAAGCATTTATCTTAGGGTCTGCAAAACGGCCGGGCTCGGGGACTCGTGCCACCCTCAATTGTTGAAAAAGTTTGTTACAGAGAAAAAGAAAGAAAGAGAGAGAGAAAAAATAAATGACCTGCCAATGTCACAAATGAGGTATCAAAATATGCTCATCTGACCGTAATTAAGTGTCTAAAACCCCAGAGCTTACGGGGGCTCCGCCCCCAGACCCCACCAAGGGCCCTAGAGCGGTCCCCTGTATGCTCATCTGACCGTAATTAAATACCTAAAACCCCCGAGCTTCCGGGGGCTCTGCCCCCTGGAATCCCACCAAGGGCCCTAAGGCGGGGCCCTGGATGCTCATCTGACCGTTATTAAATTATTACCTAAAAAGCCCGAGCTTCCGGGGTCCCATTGAAGGTCCCATTGTTATAAATCACGACCTCCCGTTCATGAGGCGGGCGCTCTTACCACTGAGCCACCATGCCCAGTAGTGTCCATGGGGGGTAATTGTCCTCGGGGGGTAATTGTCCTCGGGGGTAGTTGTCCTCGAGGGTTAGTTGTCCTTGGGGGGTAATTGTCCTCGGGGGTAATTGTCCTCGGGGGTAGTTGTCCTCGGGGGGTAATTGTCCTTGGGGGGTAGTTGTCCTTGGGGGGTAATTGTCCTCGGGGGTAATTGTCCTCGGGGGTAGTTGTCCTCGGGGGGTAATTGTCCTCGGGGGGTAGTTGTCCTCGGGGGGTAGTTCTCCGGGGGGTAATTTTCCGGGGGGTAATTGTCCTTGGGGGGTAATTGTCCTCCGGGGGTAATTCTCCGGGGGGTAATTTTCCGGGGGGTAATCGTGCTACGGGGGTAGTTTTCCGGGGGGTAATTGCCCGGGGGGGGTGATTGCCCAGGGGGTAATTGTCCTGATACGTATGATAATATATACCAATGAGTAACATAACGTTTGAAGCACAGTTATCTTGTTTTAGAACATGCATGGCAATGAAGAAGAAATGTGTTATACAACTTCATGAATATACTGTGGGTCCTCAGACTTCAGTTGATGTCATATACATTGGTAGATGACTTGTGTATTCTTATGTCTCTGATCAGCAAGTCAAGAAATATGATATTAATAACATTAAAACGGTAGTGTGTGTACATATACTTTTTTTTTTTACTTTTAAACATTTTGTTCCATGTAAGGATGGCAATTTGAGAATGATTTGTTTTCTCATTTGCAATTTGCCAGAATGGAATAATCTGCAAAATGATGTTGTTGTTGAATTCCTTCACTCTATTAAAAACAAGTGGGGAAGATCTATGTTTGGTTCAGAAATGGAACATTCGTTTCTCTTTGGAAAGATTTACTTTCTATTGGCTTTAAATGTTCCCAAGAAACATACATGTCCCCCTTCTACCGAAGCTTCCCACAATTTTACCAAACTCCGTTTACTGAAATACAGCAGTCACAGTTGTAGAGTTGGCGGTTTTTAGAAATTGATTCGCAATCTTCTATCAAAGCCTTCTTCCTCTACATTAAGATTGTATTATTATCCTTATTATATCAAGTCATTTACATTATTTTAGACGGGAATGGCAGACATACACTGTTGAAAAGTCTTGATATTATGTAGATATAAGTGGTATATAATACGTTTGAACCCTCTCATAATCATGGGTTTGCTTTCTGATATTTCTAGTTATTTCTAGTAATGACCGCGTTTGCGGCTTCGGACATACTTCATGCAAACTGTCAGTAATAAAACTATTATCGGGGAATTTGTTGAATTAACAGGAGAGAGGAAGAGAAGAAGAGGAGGAGTAAAAGGAGAAAGAGAGAGAGAGAGATAGACAGCAAGAAAACAAAAGAAATACAGTGAAAGAGTGTCGGGCAAATGATATGTCAATGAGGGCGCTCTTTCGATCTATCTTTAACGGAACACATTTTTAAAAAAGCAAAATACGAAAACACATCATACTGCATACTCAGTTTCAGTGAACGATTCACAGAGTAACCAATGATGGAATACCTTGTTTTGTCAAGCAAACACATACCTTACCACAGTGTTACCATTGTATGCAAGTCTGAAGAATCCAACTACACGAAATTTACGACTAAAGTTTTTAACACCCGAAGGCTTGCCCAACATAGCACCAAGTTATGTATGGACCCAAGCCGGTTTGCACCATGGATTCCAAGTATTGTAGTCCATTTATTAAAAACAGGTTATTATAATAACTCGTCCCTAGGTCCCCAGGAAGAAACATCCATACATTTAAATTTGGATATGTCAGTTAACCTGTCTACTGTGGCAAGACAATTTACTCTGGCTTATGTCCGTAGTACCCTCGATCCGTGGATTGTGTAACGTAGACAAAAAGGTGGTGGAAGCCACAGGTTAAGTGAAAAACCTTTCATCTAAAAATTCCATTTAAGAAATCCAAAAACCGCATTAGCTCTCAAATCTATTACACCATCTGTTCTGACAAATTCCGTGTAGAAGCATAATGGATTCTTTTATTCACATGCAGAGAGTCCTTTATTTTAAGCTGTGGAAGGTTGGCATGTAAGTATATCATATTGCACATACATTATCACACCTAAGCCTCTGTTTTAATTTCTTCCACTACTTCAAGTGAGTTGCTGGAGCTATTACGACTATTCAATATATTTTGCTAAATCTCCAACATCTGTCTCCTGAAGAATAGTCTTCAGTTGAGCCATATCACCACCCGTCCTTGTTTTCCACTGTGCCAAGCAAGACCTAGTAGCTCTCTGGTAGTCATTGGAAACTCGAACTAGGATCTTGTCAGCTTCGTAGTATTCGATCCCAAGATGTGTGCACAGCGATGTGTATTTCTCAGCAGGCATGCGTTTCGACAGCCTGTCTAATATTGCATCTGATTGGAGATCAAACCTGAGGAATGAAACGATTAATACGATCTTTGCAAATCGGTGGTGTAACTTCATAGTCAAAGATATGTCGCATGATGATGATCATGATATTAATAATGATAATAATAATATGATCATAATAATAATGTTAAAGAATGTTCACTTAGGGTCAGCTCATCAGCTGCAATACTATTAACACTTCGCGGGGCCCTGCTTTTATTATTACCTAGCAATTGCCAGGTACTCATTTGCACCTGGGTGGAGAGTGGCAAACGTGAATAAATGACTTGTCAAAGGACCTTTGTGACGTGGTAGGATTCCAACCCTAAATCCCTGGATTAAGAGGCAGGTTAATGAATAAGTGTACCACGAAACCTCCTGATTGTTAGTGGACTCGGAGGCGACCATAACCGCCTACTTCGCACACTTTCAAGAATGTTATCCACAACATATGCCTTCTCACATAATAAATTATATCGGGTACAAAAAGGACCACTAAATGTAACATTATCTTTTAGCGTACTAAGTACACATCTACAAAAGCGGGTACGTACGATTTCACTTCAGTGTTTCAATCCTGAACAGGTTACCCTTTTAGCATTTACTTGTTATCGGAAAATAAAGGTAAATAACATACTCTTTTGTTCGTGAACTTCCTTGGAAATTAACCTTTTCTATATCTGATTTGAAGTATGTTACTTTGGGATCACCTCTTGAAATGTTGATAACTTGAATACCTCGGCCATATAGCGAGAGAAATACATCTCTATTATGTAACGTATTAAAGTTGAAAGAAGACCTTGTTCATAACCCATGTTATGTATTATTTAAATGGAGTCTTGATATTACAATGTGAAAAACTGTGTGAAAGCAATTGGGAAAGGTTCATCATGTAGTATATATCAATTAGGGCATACTTTGGGGTTTAAGAATGATACAAATCTAACGAAATTGACGAATTCTTGGTGAATATATCATGCACTCAAGACAAAAGATTCAAAACTTTCTGCTACTTCTAGTAATATTTCAAATGAAAGGGCGTTTGAAGAGCAATCCATTTCAGGCGACATTTTTACTACGCAATTCCTCCAAACTGACGTACACAGATTAAGAAAGCTCACAATGTGCTTTTTCAATTTTCACCAGAACTCAGCCTACTCTTTCAAATCTAATATAGATCGGTTACATACCCCGATTGCTTTGACACCTCTGCTGCTTGTAAACTGGCATGCACGGGAAGGGATGCTCCTCCTGCTGCTGCTATTGTTTCCACTGTTGGTGTTGATGGCGCTCTTGTTAATGTTGTTGCTGTCATACATTTATATAAAATGAAGATAACTGTTTATAAATATGTTAATTAATTTAAAGTCAGGTCCATTTTTGTTAAAGTTTTAGGCTGGTTTTAAAACAATTGTTGCATAAAACTTAAAAGACTATTATTGATAATTGTTACTCTTTTATAGATACTTTTTTCTTCTTCTATTATTGGAGAAGTTGAGATACTGCACTCTTCCCAATGCCTCATGTACTGAAGAAATATATGAATAGCTATAACTGTTTAAACTGGCACTACTCCATTTAAGAAATACTCATGTTGAAATTTCTTCTATACTTGTGTCATGATATCGAATAGGAGAGTATTAACTGTTGAAGAAGTAAAATGTGTCACATGACACATACATCTTGAACTTTGAATACATTTATCCTTTCATGATAATGTTTGAAATACCCTATACCTCAATGAACTTTGCTTTTGTATACTGTTTATGCCTTATTCACCATAGTCGGTATTCAGTCATTCATCATGGGTTTTACGCGAAGGCTAATGCGGAATTTTTCTCGTGTTATGCTTATATAGATTATTTATGCTAAAGAATTATGTATGTAAATTTTTGCTTTGCTTGTCATAACTTAGATTTTTCTTTTGGGGGGGGGGGGGAGTATTGTTCTTCCTTTTTTTCTTCATTATATGACCAAAATATAGTATGAATTACACATTTCTATTTCTCCTAGGACCCAATTAGAACAGGCTAATTACCAGCATTAAAATTCTATCCTGTCAACATATATATTTCCTTTTTTAAACATTGTGATCGTCAATAGTTTCAAATTGAGGTGAAATTCATATTTAATAGTATCCGCAAAGTTAAGGATTGCATTTATGCTGCTACATGTAAGTAACTTATGAACTCATTAATTTTGTTAAACAAATTTTAAACGGATCAAAAGTTACTTCAAATGAAACACGTACATTATGCACATTTGTCGGTCGTAATTTTTCTCAGAAGTCAACAAAGTTACACAAGTCATTGTCTTCAAATCACGTAATTATTAGTCTTTTAGACTTTTAGATCAAAGTGTGTAGCTTAATTGTAGTCCCTCCATCATACATACCATCATATTTCAAGTCGAAATGAATCGGGGTAGGGTTAAAGGTAGACTCTGTTTGATCCAAGGTGAATTCGAGAAACCTTTGGCTTGCCCCCGACTCGAGTGGCTCCACTTCAAAGGAGAATTGTTTACTTTTAACGAGGTTCATTTCCCTTGTACCTAGTATCTATTTTAAAAGAAGAAGAAATTCAAGTAAATCTGTCGGTTAAAACATTACCACACACTCTAAATGAAACAAGAATATTTGTAAATGTTACATAAATCAAATACTCATGACTAGGTATATAAGGGAAAATAAGAAGATGAAAAAGAGATAGTTCAAGTTCATGTTCAAGTTTTATTTCCACATCTAATTTTAAAAAAACATGATACCGTATTTGGTATCATTTGAAAAGGTAGTCTGCGGTCAGTTTTACACCATTGTTTTACACGTAATGTATTGCAAGCATTATTAACGGGTTGTTATGTATTGCAAAGTAAAAAAAAACATTTGGCCTTTACTTTACGATGACGTCATCAAATTATAACATATTTGGCAGACAGTTGTCAAGGGTATGGATACATATTTGTCTGCTGAGTTTCATTGACGTAGGATCGTAAAGATCGCCATTTTTATAGCAAGTTAAAGTTATTTTGCAATTTTCTTGACAAATCACTGCAAATTTTGAGGGCAATTTTCTTAAAGTCGGTCAGTGATAGGGTATATTTTTTATTTGGCTGGAAAGGGCATATCTTGAAATATCTATATCAACAAAAGTACGGGTGTGGCCAAACGCGATGGAGCTACGGCCACAGAAAGAAAACTTCATGTATTATTTTAAATGAAGAGGACGCTACTTTTGTTTTGCGTAACTACATGTGCGTGAAATTGTAGATGGTTATGTAAAAATGATAAGATGAAAATACTGTACGAATTCGAGACAAAACCGAATTGATATGGGAAAGTTTTGGCAATTGACGGGTTTTAGGGTTTTTTTAAAGGTTTTTTAGGTTTTTCTTTTTTATAGAAGATTCTTAAAGGATTCGATTTCAGATTTGAATTTCGAGTACGAAGATGGCATTTTAAAAGCAGGTTATGCTTCGCAGATGAAAGAACATTTATTTGGCTATCTAAACGAATTTGTTAGAAGTCTGTAGAATCTAGGAAAGTTGAGACAGGAAGGAAGAAAGAACGGCCTTACAGAAATGGACAAAATGGCGCCTGGACGGTTACGCATGAGTGATTTCGGAAAACTAAGATTTAGATGACTTTAGATTAGTTTTCAGAGAGTACGCCTACGAAATGTGAAAGGAATCGGGCCAGAAAAAAATACCTAGATAGGGAAAACAAGCACTGCGTGAAAAGCGAATGGGATTTGTTGGCATAAGATCGAGAAGAAGAAGAATTCAGACCGGAAACAAGACAATGCAATAACAAATCAAAACGCGGACGAAGACAAGTCATTGACGAAAGTCGCCAATGCAATAAAATCCTTACAATTGACCATTTTCCTAATTCATTAAATTCGATTCACGTACCTTTGATAAGTGCCTCGTTATAAATTTATTCATCCAGATGTAACGAATAATACTATTTCAGTAGTCAGAATGCGAATTCGTACTTCAATTGTCGGTTGGTAGGACGAACATTAGGCTTCTGCATTGAATTTCATGACATTACAAAAATGGCCTATTTTCTTTGATAATCCTAGCTTTGAAATACAGAACGTACCTTTTTGCCAATTGTCCTTCCTTTTTCCATTGAGCCATCGAACAACGTGATATTGATATCACCACACCTCCATTCTACGAACATTTGCTGGGGCGGATAGAGCATTCTGTACTCCTTCATATTCTTGTTTGTTTTCTATTGGAGCAAAACATAATTTATGGTAAAGAAGACCAACCCCCCCCCCTCTTCAATCTCTTTCTTTATATATATATATATATATATATATATGTATATATAAAGAAAGAGAAAAAGCTAAATATATTTATATATATTATATAGGTATAAACAAATATATATTTTCTTTTTACATTTCTAGGATATAAATTACATATTTAGTATTACAAAAGGCAAATGCCCCCCTCCCCCCAGCAACTTTTTCAGTGACATCATAAAATCATAACATAGCAAGAAATGTGTTAACTTCCTTTTTTTTTTACAGAGAGACTTTTAGGGGGAATTATAATTCTATGTCTCGTTTTTGCCTTAAATTGTGTAAAATATCTGGCAGCAAATGCTGAAATTTGAGGACCCTCTTGAATGACATGTTGTTATATTTTTGACTCACTTGCTAGAATATTTGCTCCGACACACCATCCATCATCCCCCCCAACCCCCAGCGCTCTCTGTCTCACCTCAATAACATCCAAGAGATCGTCATATATGCAAAGTAGCACTAAGTGCGTGAACCCCTTCATGACAGGTGGTCGTATATATGGCGTGCACTCGACCCTCTTTCCGACGAAGTACCGTTTGATTAAGGCCACAATCCACCAATCACTGAAATGATCCACATAGAAATCCAAGTCCTTTGATCTGACGTCACAGCGTGGACAACCGTCAGTGGATGCGGGAATTCTCACGAAAGTTGTTGAGTCTATAACAACGAGAATTATAATATAAATATTCGGTCTACAAGAGACTTGTACATAAGTGTTCTTGGGGGGACAAATGCTATATTAATGGTGAAGCTATTTACATTAAATATATATAATTCAACAAATTATTGAGAGACAGCATAACGATAAGTATGCATTAACTTTTACTATGGAGTTGAACAAGGGTCATCAGCCAATTACTTTTCTTGTTCCTATTCCCCCTATTATTGTTTTTAGGGGGAGAAGAGGGGCGATGATAGGGTCATATGTCCCATGTTCCTAAAAGATCATCTTCTGGTCCATAAATAAGCTATAACTAAGTTTACTTAATTAAATAAAAATAAAATAAAAAGAGGAACCTGAAGATAACATGTATTCTACCCATTTTGAAATTTAACGATAATTTTACTTATATTCATTGTTATATTTGTATGTCAAAATTGTTTGTTTGTTACATGAAAAAGGCATTTGAGCTGCGGTAAATTGGATATGATACTTGCTCCTGCGACAATTGCTCCGCTTCAATTTCCCTCAATACACGAATCCTTAACTTTAACAATGGAGTTAAAACAACACCTGACCCTAACCAAATCAAGCAGATCTAATTTGGAACTCAATTGCTACCCAAACCAAATGCCTATAACTTTGAAGAAATAAAGATCGGAGCAATTTTTGTCGCAGGAGCTTTTGTAACGATAGTTGCCCCAGACCTTTGTTGCGGGTGTAGAAGACGATCTCTGCACGTCTTGGATTGGTGAAATGTGCATTATGGTCCAACGTGACCTTGATAGTTTCGCTGAGCTTGACTCCAGAAGGCGAGAATCTGATGCCGCATGATATTACTACTTCATTCTCTTGAAGAGTAAGTTCTTGAGGACTGTCTGTCAAAAATTCCCAGTGGACTTTCTTGCCAACTGAAAAACAAGAGGTTGGTAGAATATAGAAGTTTGTTAATTTTCTCACATGTAAAAGATTGTATAATCTACTTGACCAACATGTTTTCAAAAGTTGTACGATTATCACCACCACCAACACCACCACCACCACCAACACCCGTCAACATCATCACCACTACCACCATCATACCTCAGTCCCACCGGCAGACCTTTCAAAAGACCGACTCCAAGCTGACCTATGTTTAGCCATTGAGTGTAATGTCATCGTTTGTTCGGTTTGTCATCGGTCTGGTATCGGTCTCGTTGGTGTGATTGAGGTATCAGCATCACTGCCATCATAATCATCATCGTCACTATTATCCTACTCATTACTACAATCTTCATCCTCAGACCAAACACAACCATATGCGCACACCTAAACAAATGAAGGTGCGGTAAGTTCGTAAGTGTGCCCCAATCATTTGGCAATATTGTATCATGAGTTTACATTGTTATTCATATAATTCATGTATCATACTGTACGGTTTCATTGTATTCATTTTTTGGTACCAGTGTTATGTATCTGTTCGTGGTTGTATTTGTATTTGAAATACAACTTTTTGTTGCAATAAAGGAATACAAATAATATAATTATGGACCTGGCAAAACAAACTGTTAGACCTCAAGGCGGATGTTGAATGTTTGCAAAATGCTTGTATGCAGGACCTGCAGGTTACCTAATGTTTTGAGGGAGACCGCGTAATTTCCTGGTCTAAAGCCATTTAATAACTAACAAAAGATGTTAATTCCTTCTCTGTACAATGTACTTCTGAAACTTTTGTCTTGAATCTTTACGGAGGGTAATGGGCCCATTTCTTGACGACGAAATAATATATAACCCTTATTAGGTAAAGGAGCAGAACATTATCTGCTGATTTTAAGGCCAGGTGACAAATCAAGTCAACAGCATTTTGTCTATTTGTCCTGTTTTCATAATTTATCTTCAACCAAATTTAAAAAACGATCATACACTCACCATAACAACGCGTTTTGACGATGCAGTGTCAAGTGTCAATACTTGTTTTGGAGTTCTCTATCGAAAAATGTCTCATTGAATGGCAACGCATATCATATTTGAATAAGCCGACAATTTTGTTACCTCCACTCGCCACATTACCTTGGTTCTTGGAGGACTTATCATCTAGAAGGGGCTGGTCAATGGTTGATGTAGGCTCCTGTGTCATGGTCTGTACTCCTGAGGGCCCTTGCGCTGCTTCTTTTTTCGGAGGGAAATCTAGTCCTGTCAATCCACCTGCATTTTGGAAATGGAAAAAAGGTAATATCAAGGACTCAAGTTATTTGACACAAACCACACAGTGAAGAACATCCCATATTATGTACAAGATATTTATGTTTTTTGTATAATCTGGATCATTATCATTACTGCTGACCATACTACCATAGAACATACCCTCACCTATACGATGATATACATGGACGATTATTCATAAAGAACACTTGAACAAAGTTTGGTAGGTTTTCATACTTGGTTTACAGTCATCTGCCTGTGACCTCAGATCTTTATCAAAATAAAGTGAATCGACTAATTCTTACTTTGGAGGTGAATATATCTATGTGTTCTGGCATAAAGATATTCGCCTGCCTCAGATGCATAAAACGTATCTCACCTAAGGCGTGGTCTATTGGCTCTACAGTGTCTGTTTCATCATTTTTCGCCTTTTCCGGAAGATTGTCAAAATCGTTCTTCTCAGCCTCCGTTGTTCCTCTGTTGAAAAAATACAAATAAACAAGAATTATACATGATTGATTATGTATTCCGTACTCTTTTCACACTCATTATTATCTGAGGTGTCCACACTTTACAAGTTCTGCTTTTCAGTGGACCTCTCCATTTCCTCAAAATTTAAATGCAGTTAAATTCAAAATTTCAATTTATGTCTTCCTCAAATGTATAAATTACTATTAAGATTAGTTTATTACAAATGTAACTATTTATTTGTATACATTTTACATTGTATTCGTTATTATATATTGTATTTTGTTGGAAATGAAAAAATAAAAATAAAAATGAAATGAAATACAGTTAACCACCAGGTTATTCATATCTCTTGTAAATTTGATGTATTTGGTGTATTTTTCGTTACGTAAGAATGACAAAGAGGACTGGTTGAATTAGGGGATTTGTTAAATGCTTAGTAGATGTAAGTTTATTATGTCATATTCTCAAGAAAATACATCGGGACAAATTAATTTTTCACATATTTCAATGATGACAAAACTAATTCAATTGTTAACTGGAAATTTAATTAACGTTGAAGGTCATGTACAATGTACACATTAACGTGTAGCGAATTATCTTTCAATTTGAGAAAACCCAAGACTCCGTTTCAGATAAACACGTTACAATGAATCAAATGCTATTGTTGCTTACATGTAGCTGCTACTTAACTGATCAAATGATAGTTCTAATAGCAATAATACTTATAATTATGATGATGATGATGATTATGATGATATGTATTCCAAATCTTCACATTTGTCGCATAATGTACACTTTTATTTTATTGTCCGAACAACACAAACACGATATGATCAATTTTTAAGATTTACAATAACACTTAATGGACTTTTCCATTTTGAGAATGTCATTCCGTTACCTAATTTCAAAGGAGCAAAATGGAAATACGAATTATTTATTTGCGTTTTGATAAATCCCTGGTCTTCAGTAACATGGCTGATTAGGACAATGTCATTTTCTTAGACCTGAAAGAATCACCTAGACAAAATCATTTGTTTGATCACTTCGTCCTTGGCATATTGGATTGGTAGCTTGCCTGTCCCATCCTTCACGTCTAACTTGGCTCCATTCTCTAGAAGATAAAACACCAAGGCCTTCTCAGGAGATAGTTCGCCCTTGTAATACTCATCAGAGATCTGAAACATACAAACATATATATTCATTTCTTTTATTCGAACAGTATGTTGTCCATCAATAGACAGGTTGGATAAGCATCATACGCATAGTTTATCGCTGTCTCTTGGAATCACAGCAGTGGAAATCACTGTTTTCGTTGTAAATTTCCCTACACACACATTCGCCCACACATTGTCATACATATTTCTCGGGCCAATCACGAGTATCAGATTCCTGGAGTCACGTATAGCCTAGAAGAGCAGTATAAGTCAGTGACTCTGCCAAAACGACTCCATGTTGACTCCAGAACTGACCGATATATGGCCGTAAAGTTAATTTCTTGTTTAGACTCTCGTCGGTCTGCTGTCAATCTCATTGGTGTTGATGGGGTATTACCACAAAATACTTACAAAATACGTAAAAGGCTCAAACGTGTTTGAAATTATAGTTATTATTATAGATATTAATAGTCTCTCCTACTACTCTATCCATTCTTTCTCCCTTTCTTTTAATTCTTATTTCCCTCCTTCTTTCTCATTTGCCTCTTCTTTTATTTCCCGTTGTCTTCTCTCGTAACCCTCTCTTTCTAATTTGTTCTTTAAATCTATCAATCTCTACTTCTCAACATATCCCTTTTTTCTCTCTTTCTCTCTCTCTCTCTCTCCATTTTTATTCTCTCTGTGGGGTGAATTCAATCTATTCAAAATATTGTAATCCGCGTATTTTCAAACGACGTAGTTCCTACAATTGTTTAGTAAAATGTCGTTATTGTGATCTTAATATTTTCATATCTGTTTAATCGTTTTAAAACATATTCTTATCGATAAACCTCTCTTTAGAAATCTAGCCATCTGATTGGTTGATATTGGAGTCCTAATTTTAGCCATACCCGCCTAACGGTCAATAGTTTTTTTAAAATATGCCCAAAGGGGGCGAAAACGTTAAATGTTGCTGAGATCCCCATAGGTTCACGTGTAAAAAGTGTGTGCGAGCTCGGATACATACAATGTGTGTGCAATTTGGTCGCTTAGTGTGTGCGATTTTTTTGATTTTTTTAAATTTTTTTTTAAATTTATTTAAATACGGTGATTAAAAAACATGCTTTCAGCTTAGCATAGCTGTTTTTCAGCATGTCAGATTCCCGAATGATCGTAACATTCAAGCAACTTTCTAACGAAGATTAACAGACAATGTCACAGATTTGAGAATTCTGTGTAGATTTTTTTTTTTATAAATTCGGTATATAAAAGGTAGTTGGACTGCTTTTATATTCGAGACATGTCTGTTTTAATACTGGCTCTCGGGGACGTTGCATCCTGCCATTACCCCTCAGCGCGCCGCGGGCACTTTGAGCCTACAGAAACAGCAATGCCTCTCATAGCAGTCAATATAATATTTCTTATCATTGAACCGTTTTTTATGTAAACAAATGAATAATTTTCCACTAAAAAAAAAAGCTTGAAATAGGATGTTTATAAAAAAAACTATTTTTTTTTTAAATTCTGGTCTTGAAAGAGAACTAAAATTCTACCTTTTGTATCTCGTATGCTATAAGATAACACACGCCATTAATTGAAACATGACAGCAGACTTCAAAATTGAAAGTGAATCTAAGATGATGGCATACAGAGAAGGTCGAAATAGAATTGAACTGTGTCAATATGCGCGTGGTCAACTGGGGTTTGATAGCTGAAAAGACAGAGGACTAAGCAATATGGCGGCATGTGCACTCGAGCGTTTGACGGCCACAGCGCCTTTGACGGCCACACGTCGATATGAGTATGTGAATAGAGATGAGCGTTCTACCAATTATTTCAGTTCTTTGGGTATGACTCACCTTTCTTAGAGTGTCAGTATTTTGCACAATGTTCACGCTCTTATAGCAGAGTTTAATGGCTTCATGCAGACACGTCTGGCCGTCAGTTGACAGGACATTGAGATCAGCTCCCTCAGAAACTAACTTCTCAATGATGGACGTGTGACCGTGTTGTATGGCAAGGTGGATATCAGTTAAATCATTTTGGGCGAGCTGGATAAAGAATATACGCAGCATGAAAACTTAAACATTGTAACTCGTCTTTAAAGTACATACAAAACAGCATTGAAGTCTAACTGGTGTTTTAAGAACGTATGGTTTTTATTGGTGATACAAAATCGAGTTAGTCAAGTCTTTAAAAAAAAAAATAGGTATGCCTATGCCTAATATTTACTGAGATGAATTTCAGTACTTGTTATTCTACATACATGTATTGAATACATCAAGTTCAATTCGACATGAAGCATTTTTAAATTATTTTTACCTGGGAACGGTGGATGAATAGATCAGCGATCCTTTGGTGCTCGAGGAATGAAGACATCTGTAGAGGTGTTTGCCCCTTAATGTCTCCCGTGTCAGAAAGTGCTCCTCCTTCCAGAAGGACTTTAACGACATCAAGGTTCCCATTCTGAACAGCATTGTGTAGAGGAGTCATACCGTCATCCTTTCCCTTGTTCACCCCAGCTCCTTGACTGATCAGATATTTAGTGACATCAAGATGACCACTCTGAGCAGCACTGTGTAGTGCAGTCACACCGTCTTCATCTCCATGGTTCACCTCAGCTCCTTGACTGATCAGATATTGGGTAACATCAAGATGACCATTCTGAGCAGCACTGAGTAATGCAGTCCAGCCGTGACCATGTCTCTTGTTCACCTCAGCTCCTTGACTGATCAGATATTGGGTGATCTCAAGATGACCATTTAGAGCAGCACTGTGTAACGCAGTCCGACCGTCATCCTTTCCCTGGTTTACCTCAGCTCCTCGACTGATTAGATATTTGGAAATATCAAGATGACCATTCTGAGCAGCACTGTGTAATGCAGTCCAACCGTCGTCCTTTCCCTTGTTCACCTCAGCTCCTTGACTGATCAGATATTGGGTAATATCAAGATGACCATTCTGAGCAGCACTGTGTAATGCAGTCCAACCGTCGTCCTTTCCCTTGTTCACCTCAGCTCCTTGACTGATCAGATATTTGGTGATATCAAGATGACCATTCTGAGCAGCGTTGAGTAATGAAGTCCAACCGCCATCCTCTCCCTTGTTCACCTCAGCTCCTCGACTGATCAGATATTGGGTGATGTCAAGATGACCATTTAGAGCAGCGCTGTGTAATGCAGCCCGACTGTCATCCTTTCCCTGGTTTACCTCAGCTCCTTGACTGATCAGATATTGGGTGATGTCAAGATGACCTTTTAGAGCAGCGCTGTGTAATGCAGTCCAACCGCCGTCCTTTCCCTTGTTCACCTCAGCTCCTTGACTGATCAGATATTTGGTGATATCAAGATGACCACTCTGTGCAGCACTGTGTAATGCAGTCCGACCGTCATCCTTTCCCTGGTTTATCTCAGCTCCTCGACTGATCAGATATTTGGTGATATCAAGATGACCATTCTGAGCAGCACTGTGTAATGCAGTCCAACCGCCGTCCTTTCCCTTGTTCACCTCAGCTCCTCGACTGATCAGATATTGGGTAATATCAAGATGACCATTCCGAGCAGCACTGTGTAATGCAGTCAAACCGTCGTCCTTTCCCTTGTTCACCTCAGCTCCTTGACTGATCAGATATTGGGTAATATCAAGATGACCATTCTGAGCAGCACTGTGTAATGCAGTCCAACCGTCGTCCTTTCCCTTGTTCACCTCAGCTCCTTGACTGATCAGATATTTGGTAATATCAAGATGACCATTCTGAGCAGCCATGTGTAATGCAGTCCGACCGTCATCCTTTCCCTGGTTTATCTCAGCTCCTCGACTGATCAGATATTTGGTGATATCAAGATGACCATTCTGAGCAGCACTGTGTAATGCAGTCCAGCCGTTGTCCTTTCCCTTGTTCACCTCAGCTCCTTGACTGATCAGATATTTGGTGATATCAAGATGACCATTCTGAACAGCGTTGAGTAATGAAGTCCAACCGCCGTCCTCTCCCTTGTTCACCTCAGCTCCTCGACTGATCAGATATTGGGTGATGTCAAGATGACCATGTAGAGCAGCGCTGTGTAATGCAGTCCGACTGTCATCCTTTCCCTGGTTTACCTCAGCTCCTTGACTGATCAGATATTTGGTGATATCAAGATGACCATTCCGAGCAGCACTGTGTAATGCAGTCAAACCGTCGTCCTTTCCCTTGTTCACCTCAGCTCCTTGACTGATCAGATATTGGGTAATATCAAGATGACCATTCTGAGCAGCACTGTGTAATGCAGTCCAACCGTCGTCCTTTCCCTTGTTCACCTCAGCTCCTTGACTGATCAGATATTTGGTGATATCAAGATGACCATTCTGAGCAGCCATGTGTAATGCAGTACTACCGTCATTATCTCCCTGATTCACCTCAGCTCCTTGACTGATCAGATATTGGGTGACATCAAGATGACCATTCTGAGCAGCCATGTTTAATGCAGTCCAACCGTCGTCCTCTCCTTTCTTCACCTCAGCTCCTTGACTGATCAGATATTGGGTAGCATCAAGATGACCATTTAGAGCAGCCATGTGTAATGCAGTACTACCGTCATTATCTCCCTGATTCACCTCAGCTCCTTGACTGATCAGATATTTGGTGATATCAAGATGACCATTCTGAGCAGCCATGTGTAATGCAGTACTACCGTCATTATCTCCCTGATTCACCTCAGCTCCTTGACTGATCAGATATTGGGTGACATCAAGATGACCATTCTGAGCAGCCATGTTTAATGCAGTCCAACCGTCGTCCTCTCCTTTCTTCACCTCAGCTCCTTGACTGATCAGATATTGGGTAACATCAAGATGACCATTTAGAGCAGCCATGTGTAATGCAGTACTACCGTCATTATCTCCCTGATTCACCTCAGCTCCTTGACTGATCAGATATTGGGTGATATCAAGATGACCATTTAGAGCAGCCATGTGTAATGCAGTCCAACCGTCGTCCTCTCCCTTGTTCACCTCAGCTCCTTGACTGATCAGATATTTGGTAACATCAAGATGACCATTTAGAGCAGCCATGTGTAATGCAGTACTACCGTCATTATATCCCTGATTCACCTCAGCTCCTTGACTGATCAGATATTTGGTAACATCAAGATGACCATTCTGAGCAGCACTGTGTAATGCAGTCTTACCCTCATTATCTCTCTTATTCACCTCAGCTCCTTGACTGATCAGATATTTGGTGATATCAAGATGACCATTCTGAGCAGCACTGTGTAATGCAGTCCAACCGTTATTGTTTCCCTTGTTCACTTCTGCTCCTTGACTGATCAGATTTTTGGTGACATCAAGATGACCATTCTTAGCAGCACTGGCTAATGCAGCCCACTCATCATTATCTCCCTTCTCTATCTCATCACCTTGGGTTATGGGATACTCAATGACGGTTCTACGGTCTTTCTTCCTTGCATTATATAAACGTTTGTTTTCATCTTTGTATGTCCGGTTTATTATGTTATAACCCTTTTTGAGCAGATTTGTGACGCTTTTGATGTTACCCCTTAATCCTGCCTCGTGAAGCCGTTGATTTATGTCCTTCATACTTAAAGAAGCACCTGGTTACCAGACATCCTAATCTAGCATAGTTCCTTGTAATGATCTTCTCCTCTTTTAACGCTCGTATTCTACTTTGGTAGCAGATAGTCCCGTTGCATTCTGCATGTTACAAGCATAATCATACCCCGACTGGGGGGGGGGGGGTTCTCGCAATGTGCAGTTGTTATTTATATCGTTTTCAACAAGTTCCGAAGTCCTGTGCAGTGAACTAAATCGTAATTCAAATATCTGTAATTCCTATTCCACTGTTAGCCTTGCTCTCTCCTCTTTTATTTGTCTATTCCTTGTCAATCATCAACATTTCGATAAATATAAAGCGAGTGCATTTTTCGAACAACCTCCTTCCCTGGAAACTTTTGTTCTGTTCGTCTCTTTCGAGGAGACATACATTCACGTGAAACTACAAAGAAACATTTTCAAGGAGGAATGACGTCAAGCCCAATGAAGGAGAAACAGCCCATGTTTTACATGTTTCATGGCACAATTCGTATAAGAAGCACTAATTTGCCGCGTAATGACGTATCTCAATACAAAATAATTAAATTACTTACTATCCGTAGAGGGCGCTGATTCCTAACATTTGATAATTGAATTACTCATGAACAAAGCAAATATTAACGCTTTGTGAGGCTATGTGTTACAATGTGTGGCTATGATACGGTAAAGATACAATTTCCTGCTTTTTTATCGAACTTGAACCCGTTCAAAAATTTGGAAAATGGAACAGGTTAGAGCCAGTATAATTATGAATAAACATTAAAGTTTCACATTGACCAAGGTTTGGGTGATCAGATTAATATAGTGAGTGTTCTCAATTAATTTTCAATGATGAAAGGCCACCCATATGTGTGTGTGGTGTGTTTTTTTTTTGGGGGGAGAGGTATTATTTATTGTGATATTGAATGTAACACGCCGTCTTGCAGTTTAACGGGGATTTTTTTTTTTTTCCTCCTCCTTTTTTTTTTATTGGCCCTCTTTACTTTGAGATTAGACGGAAACTTCCTAAAGTAATTTTGTTAATGATAACGATTCCCTAATACCCTAAAAACCGCTGGATATAGATATGTACGGCGTATATCGAAAGGGTGTTGCGTTGACGAAGACATTCGAGAAAGACAGATACACCCCCCCCCCCCCCCCCCACCGGCCGGTTGTCTCGAAAGGGTGCGGTGAAAAGGACTCTTGGTAATCTTTCTTTCTTGGGTGTGTGTAGTTATGAAAAGGACTGTTGGTGTAGTCTTGAAAAAGACTGTTGGTTATCTTTCTTAGCTTATAGTTCCAAGGAGAACTATGGCCCTGGTTGGAGAGGATGTGTGGTAGGAGTGGCCCGACGTTTCGAACAGGTTGACCATCCGTCGTCAGGACGACAGGACCCATCCTCTCCAACCGGCGCTATAGTTAGAAGCCGCCCGCTAAATGACTTTTTGGTACCCTCTCTTCAAATATTTGTTAATCACTCATGCGTGAAATATGCATCATATGAGTAACATCAAATGAAAGAGGATCTAAACTTTACAAATATGTTTCATTAATAAATTATAATTGTGACTAAGTTATGATTTTAAAAAAATCAATAATTCTCGGTTTCGTTTTTTCTGGGACGCACTGTAAATTTAATACTAAAAAACTATTTTCATAGTTGCGTTCAATATATTAAACATATACATGATTATTCTGTTATTCCCTATACTTGAAACTCTTTGAAATTCTTGATATAGCTTTAAAATATCCACGTATAATATGATTGTGTCGCAACACATTTTCATTTCATATAACGTGGCATTATACATGCACGTAGTGTACTTATCATCTTAAAGGTGTTACTTTTGATGAATTATATTTTTTTCTAAAGTGTTTTTTTTTTAATGTAATAAATGTCAATTAACATATCTTATTTTGTGCGAAAATGAAATTAGGCATTTTATACATTTCATAATATTCTAATCCAAGCTACGGACTGATTTACATTTAGATCGATATATTTACACGAAATCGCAAATAAACATGTGAACAATAAGTAGTAGAGTAAATTAGGATTATTTGCATACAGGTATGTTTTATATCTCGTGTCATATTTAAAATTAACAAAGCGAAGGTTCGATTATTGAGAAAGTACGTGTGATAAATTATCGCATGTTTTGGTTATACGTTAGTCTGTGCTTCGCAATTTGAATACTTTCGAAAGAAATCATAACTACAATTTGGTTTAAGCCTAAAACTGTTTATCATGTTGACAATTTACTTGGATAAGACGTTTCTACTCTAAAATTAATACAAATGACACTGTGTCAATTATATCATTGAAACTGCAGATCACAGGTCTAGCATTTTTTTCTGAGCCACCCTGAATGAAAATAAGACCTTTACATTTTGTTTCAACCAGTGAAATCAACAGTTTAAATACAGTCCATACGTATTAGCTAGGCCGGTTAATACATAGATTTCTTTTCCAGAGAATCACGAAACAAGCATTCATGTTATTTCATCTCTCACAACCTTATTGTTTTAAAGGGATAGTTGAGTTCTGTTTTCAGACCGCAATTTCCTTCAAAGGGCATGGTTATTGCTCTGATTCGTATCTATGACATTTCTAGTGCCCTTTGAGGACCTAAAATTGCTATGAAGGTCATTTAAGACCCCAAAATGTGTGAAATTTAGCCAATCCGATCATACCAATTCAGCTTCACTTTCAAAAATATACGGTGACCGTTAATTAATTGATTAATTAATAATAACAATACATGAGCCAGATGGTTGGGCTTAATATAACCAACACGAAATAGCCGACAAAAAAGCCAACATCGGAATTAGCTGAAATCAAACGTAAAAGGCGCTATTTCGTTTTTTCAACGGCTTTTTTAAATGATGGAATATTTGTGGTGGTACACAATATTAGAAATCGTTATATTTATTGATATTTCAGTCGTCTCTGAACGGAGCATGTACCGGAGCATTAGAAAACACTTATAAAACGAGACACCTGAAGTGAAGCTACTAAACACATAAAAAGAAAAAACTAACTTAGATAGTTTAGGAGTGCTTAGACATCTTCAGGAAATACATAGGCCTAGACAAATTGATGGTTTCATTTGAACAAATTTTATGACCACAAAGAAACATTTAACAAGGTAACCATGTTAGTCTTATAATATGTTACCTTATTACAATATAACTTAACATTTACAGTGAAACTGCAGTTCCCTGTAATATATACAGATGGAAGAATAATTTTAAGGAAAATACAACAAATAAATCATACATCTGTTTAATCGATTCATCGTTATTGAGATGCCAAATATGGCCAAGAGAAAATGGCATGATAACATTGAAATAACACGTTATGCACTATACAGAAGTTAAATATTACAAAACGTTACCAGTGCTTTGGTTCGTACAATTAAGGAATTGGTTATATTTACAGAACTTAATAAAACAAAATAAAAAAATAGACATTGAATTCGTTACGGAGACGAATTAGGTGATCTGTCGCTTTGATCGCCATATTCTTCATGATGTCAATCAGTCAATTTTGATTATTTCTTACTCCAAGTAGAATCATTGGGTCTGTTAACCACATCTACACGTATTTTAATCAAAAAATCACCAGTTATAATTAGATACAGACTCGGTTTCTTTTCAGCTTGGCAGAAGATCCACAATAAATTGCAAAAGTATTACTGATGTGTTCTAAACATTGAATGTTGTCAAAAACTAATCAAATAACCACTTCCTCATTGCATGTCCAGTAATAATATAATAACAGACGATACTGGTAGAAAAGACACGTTTAAAATAAAGGAAACAAAAGGAAAAAGAATACTAATTGTTTCATGGAAACGGGCATGATTTCCGTAAAGAAGGGAAACTAAAACCGCGGGGACAAAATGAAAGTACACGCATCGAGCACTCGATTCGAAACTTGCCAAATACTGCATGCAGTTGGTATAGTAATTCGGCTTTCATCCATTTCTCGATCACCCATTGTGTATCCATAATAATGTTGCATGTGAGATGTATCTATTTTAATTTTTCCTTTTGGATATCTTTCAATCCTTCTTTCCCCCATTTGTAATCAGTAAAATCGCTCACTTAGTTTGGATTACAGACAGCCAGCGATCGAGACCCACAAATCGGCCTTATGCACATTTTGAGTCACTTGACTGGAAGTATCACATTGCTAATAAAGCTTTCAAGAAGTATTTTATTCAAACTCAGATATTTTATACCCTCCATTCTATATTGGTAAACTATATATTTTACAAAAACATGCGATCCGACTGATAAAAAAGAGTGACTTTTTTATTCCCAGTCTACCACTATTTGTTAAATTAAAATTCCCCCCAGAGTCTGAACTATCAAAATTTAATATAACAGTCTATTTGCATACAAAACAAAATGAAAAGAAACCCCAAAAAGGTAAATTGCTTAAACACATGCATTGCATGAATCTATATCGTTACGAGGTTGGTGTTATTTCCTGTTATTTTGAACTCTTATGATCTTTCCTTCCTCATCCAGGAACAGAGGTCACCGCCGATGATCTACGAATCACCCGAGGCTTGTTAGTCTGCAAGTAATAATTGTGTAGGCTTTCCATTAGTTAAAGCGGGACTGCACTATTTGTATTTACATGCGCCCTCATAGCCAACAAGGCCTAAGCGGTGCCCGTTGGTCCCCCATGATCCTTTTTTTTCTTATGTTAATTGAGAGCTGATTCGATGAGATAACCGCCTACCAGTGATCTCACAGGGTGGTCTAATCCCTCCTGGCCAAACTAGTGCAGATAGGCTTAAATGCACTTTGACAGCTTAATCTGTTAAAAAGTTGAAGAAAGTTCTATAAAAGTCTCCCTTATTTTGTTAAAGAAAATATGGATTGTATTGATACACCTTGTTCCCTTTTTTGATGATACACTATTTTTGATGATACACTCTAATATATTGGAGCAGTGCGTGCAACACTTTGTTACTGCAAGGAAAGCATTATTTCAAATACATTGAGGATTAGATAACAT